AGAGAGGAAGTCAAATTGTCTCTGTCTGCAGAAGACATGATTGTATATTTAGAAAACCCCATCGTCTCAGCCCAAAAACTCCTTAAGCTGATAAGCAACTTCAGCAAAGTCTCAGGATACAAAATCAGTGTGCAAAAATCACAAGCATTCCTAAACACCAATAATAGAAAAGCAGAGAGCCAAATCATGAGTGAACTTCCATTCACAGTTGCTACAAAGAGAATAAAATATCTAGAAATACAACTTATAAGGGACATAAAGGACCTCTTCAAGGAGAACTACAAACCACTGCTCAAGGAAATAAGAGAGCACACAAACAAATGGAAAAATATTCCATGCTCATAGATAGGAAGAATCTTGTGAAAGAATATTGTGAAAATGGCCATACTGCCCAAAGTAATTTACAGATTCAATGCTATACTCATCAAGGTACCATTGACTTTCTTTGCAGAACTAGAAAAAACTACTTTAGATTTCATATGGAACCAAAAGAGAGCCCATATAGCCAAGACAATCCTAAGTAAAAAGAACAAAGCTGGAAGCATCATGTTACCTGACTTCAAACTATATGACAAGGCTATACTAACCAAAACAGCATGGTACTGATACCAAAACAGATATATAAACAAATGAAACAAAACAGAAACCTCAGAAATAACACCAGACATCTACACTCATCTGATCTTCGGCAAGTCTAACAAAAACAAGCAATGGGGAAAGAATTTCTTATTTAATAAATGGTGTTGGGAAAACTGGCTAGCCATATGCAGTAAACTGAAACTGGATCCCTTCCTTACACCTTATACAAAAAAATTAACTCAAGATGGATTAAAGACTTAAATATAAAATCCAAAACCATAAAAACACTAGAAGGAAATCTAGGCAGTATCATTCACGACATAGGCATGGGCAAAGACTTCATGACTAAAACACCAAAAGCAATTTCAACCAAAGCCAAATTTGACAAATGGTATCTAATTAAACTAAAGATCTTCTGCTCAGCAAAAGAAACTATCATCAGAGTGAAAAGGTAACTTACAGAACAGGAGAAAATTTTTGCAATCTATCCATCTATCCAGAATCTACAAGGAACTTAAACAGATTTGCAAGAAAAAAAACCAACACACCCATCAAAAAGTGGGTGAAGAATGTAAACAGACGCTTCTCAAAAGAAGATATTTATGCAGCCAACAAACATGAAAAAAAAAGCTCATCATCATTGGTCGTTAGAGAAATGCAAATCAAAACCACAGTGAGATACTATCTCATGCCAGTTAGAATGCCAATAATTAAAAAGTCAGGATGCTTGTAAGGATGTGGAGAAATAGGAATGCTTTTACACTGCTGGTGGGAGTATAAATTAGTTCAACCGTTGTGGAAGACAGTGTGGCCATTCCTCAATCATCTAGAACCAGAAATTCCATTTGACCCAGCAATCCCATTACTGGGTATATACCCAAAGGATTATAAATCATTCTACTATAAAGACACATGCACACATATGTTTATTGCAGCACTATTTGCAATAGCAAAGACTTGAAACCAACCCAAATCCCCATCAATGACAGACTGGGTAAAGAAAATGTAGCACATATACACCACGGAATACTATGCAGCCACAAAAAAGAATGAGTTCATGTTCTTTGCTGGGACATGGGTGAAGCTGGAAACCATCATCCTCAGCAAACTAATACAGGAGCAGAAAACGAAACACATCATAAGTTCTCACTCGTAAGTGAAAGTTGCACAATAAGAACTCATGGACACAGGGAGGGGAACATCACACAATGGGGCCTCTCAGGGTGAAGGGTAAAGGAAGGGAGAGCATTAGGACAAATATCTAATAATTGTGGGATTTAAAAACTAGATGAGGGGTTGGCAGGTGCAGCAAACCACCATGGCACATGTATAGCTATGTAACAAACCTGTGCATTCTGCACACATATTCCAGAACTTAAAGTAAAATAAAAGTAAATTTAAAATAAAAATAAAGAATGATTCCCTAGGTTTAAACAAGGTTTTTCTAAGGTATTGGTTTACTCTTAATAAAATTAAAGGGAATTTTGCTTTTTAATTTTATAACCTATCTCTTTACAAAACTTCTCAGATTCATATCTCAGAAGTTCAATTTCTGTTATGTCTGGCTGTTTTCAGCTTTTTCCTCCCTTTGAAAAGGCCAGAGATTAAACTCTCTCCTTCAAGTTTTTCCATCACCTCCTCTAAGTTTTTTTCCCTCTGATTCTAACTGTTGGGGCCTGATGCTGAAATGTTTTATCTTAGAAGTCTATAAAAGCAGTGTTTTCCTCCAATATAACTTGATTATGTAGTCTTGGCTTTTCTTAATATGTCTGATTTTTATTTTAATCAGGAAACATCTCATGCAATTGCTCAGAGTGATGTATTCTCTTGCTATACTCATAATCATGAATACACTCTTGTTATGTCTGATTAAATTCAAGCACTTTTTTAAACCAAGTCTGACTTTTCAGTTATCAACATAGTCTTCCCATAAGGAGAAGCAGTCACACAGCAGAAGGGTTTTTTTGCCTATGTAGTAACTTGCTTAAGAAACAAGACTTTTATGTTTTATCAAGATAATTCCCATGCTAACTTTAATGGGTTTGCCTATAAAAACTGAGATTTTAAAGGGTTTGAGTTTTTACATCCATGTAACCTCCTGTCTTAGTCTTTAATTATTAGTTTGGTTAAATGAGTAAATATTAATTTTAGAATGAATATTATCTTGTTTTGAGCATTTTAAAATTTTTGACAAATGTTCTCAAAATCAAAATCCTAAATTAAGTCTCTGACTTATTGCTGGGGTTTATCAAAGCTATAAAAATTATCACCACAAAGTTGTAAAATCTTTTTACAGCTTCCAGTCAGGTCATGGACTCCAGTATCACACCTCCAGCCCTTTGAAAAGGTTCTTATGAGGTGATATTAACTAATCCTTGTGCTTTTAAGTTACAGGGCTTTACACATATCTCATCCAAAGAAGGCACCAACTCCTGCCAGTATCTGACACTAAACTGCAGTTAACCAAAGCCTCGTCTTTAGACTCAGTCAAAGGTGACGAAGTAAACTGCTGACAGTCTTGAGTTCAAAAACATTAAAATTCATTTAACAATTTTGCCTTTATCTGAATTAATATAATTTATTCTGTGCCTTGATACTAAATAATTTAAATGTTTAGCTACCTATGAACTTCCTTTCCTGTCATTCTGAAAACTAGGCAGGGTTTATCACCTTTGTGTTTGAAATGTATGTTAATTCTTTCTGTTTTGTTTTACCTACAGAATTTGAAACTATTCAATCCCTCCAGGCCGAAAGACTAAAACATAATATTGTAAGGGCCAGTATTGAGGGCTAAAGTTAGTTCAGACCCTACAAAACAAGGATGGCACACAGATGCCAAAACATCTAAACAAAATGCTTGCGTTTTGTATAGCTAATTGCGACAAGCCAAGATTACAGCAGCTCAATGCACAGAATTTATAGATAAGACAATTTTGTAACCTTGCCTTTTGGCTTTCGGTTTTTGGCACTTAACATTGCTTAAGTGGGGTTTTAAGGCTAATGAATGCCTGCCCACCCTCTTCCACATCTGGCCTACAACATTTAATTGACTCTAAGTCTGTTAACCATAGCAGGGACATGATGGACTCAGGGCAGGTAACACATCACCCTGGCATTGATATGGAACAAAATAAAAGTTTGGACATTGATACTGTCTCTGGGATACCTGGCCAAAACAAACAAACAAACAAACAAAAAAACGGAATGCTGTTATGAAGGCATGAGCCTAGCCATACCCCATCTGCAACCATTTGATTAGCAAAACTGCTTTCCTTTCACCACACCTGGTTTTTCATGTTTTTGGCCTCTAAGCAGCAAGCAGCCAGATGTGAGCCAGTTGCAATAGCAGCATTATTTACAATAGCAAAAGATGGAAGCAACCCAATGGATGAATGGATAAACAAAATGTGGTATATACAATACAATGGAGTATTATTCAGCCTTAAAAAGGAAAGAAAATCGAATATATGCTACTATATGGATGACACTTGTGGACAATCTGCTAAGTGAAATAAGGCAGTTACATAAATACAAATGCTGTATGATTTCACTCATGTCAGGTACTCAGAATAGTCAAATCTGTAGAGAAAGAAAGTAGCATGGTGGCTGCCAGGGGATGGGGATAAGAAAGAATGAGGAGTTATTGTTTAATAGTGCAGAACTTCAGTTTTGCAAGACGCAAGAGTTCTAGAGATGGATGCTGATGGTGGCTGTATAACAATGTGAATGTACTTGCTATTAATACTACTGAACTGTATGCTTAAAAATGGCTGAGATATTAAATTTTGTGTATTTTACCACAATTTTTTAAAAATTAAATGAAAATAGGCCGGGTGCGGTGGCTCACGCCTATATTCCCAGCACTTTTGGAGGCCGAGGCAGACAGATCACTTGAGGTCAGGAGTTCCATACCAGCCTGGCCAACATGGCGAAACCCTGTCTTTACCAAAAATAACAAAAATTAGACGCACGTGATGGCCCATGCCTGTAGTCCCAGGTTCTTGGGAGGCTAATGCAGGGGGATCGCTTGAACCCGGGAGGTGGGGGTTTTAGTCAGCCGAGATAGCGCCACTGCACTCCAGCCTGGGCGACAAGGGCAAAATTCCGTCTCAAAAAAACAAAAATTTAAAAAGTTTTTACTTAAAAATTAAATGAAAATAAAAACTGTGAGTAACAACCCACATCAGAGAAAACCAGTAGGGAAAGAAGAACTTCCTACTGCCCAGTTAATCGTGGCCTGCCCACCAGGCTGTGGGAACTGGAAACCAAGGGCGTGGCCAGGGCAGGTCCAGGGCTCGGCGCTGGGCAGGACCGCGAAGAAGCCGCAGGTTCCAGCGGGTAAACCCGCAAACTGGACTGCTAGTGCGCAGGCGCTGAGTGCGCCTGCCGAGACACCTTTCAAACGTGCCCGGAAGTGACGCTAGTAGTGCTGAGACAGACTCCCAGAAGATCTCAGCAAGTCGCGTAGCTGAGCCCGGCAGGTCCTGTGAGGTCGTGCTGCTGCTATGAGCTGCACCATCGAGAAGATCCTGACAGACGCCAAGACGCTGCTGGAGAGGCTGCGGGAGCACGATGCGGCCGCCGAGTCGCTGGTGGATCAGTCGGCGGCGTTGCACCGGCGGGTAGCCTCTATGCGGGAGGCGGGGACAGCGCTTCCGGATCAGGTCAGGAAGAGGGTAGGAGTCCAGTGCTCTCGGATTCTGGGCACTGAAGGGTGGAGAGCGAGGTCAAGTGGGAACTCGGCCTGGAATTTATTCCGGGTCTCAGAGGGCGGCGGTGAGACATTTTTCCTGGATCGGGGCTGAGAAACCTGCCCTGAAGCCCTAATTTCTGCCTCTTCAGTTGCATTTGCCGCTGTTCTCAGTCTGTCTCTGTTTGTCCAGTATCAAGAGGATGCATCCGATATGAAAGACATGTCCAAATACAAACCTCACATTCTGCTGTCCCAAGAGAACACACAGATTAGAGACTTGCAGCAGGAAAACAGAGGTTAGTCAGGCCTTTTCATATCTGATAATAGTTTGAAAGTTATTGCAGAATTGCCCTAACCGTTCACAGAAGTGTACATATATTTCCAGGTCAGTACTTTTAGTAGGCGAGTCCCCCTGTGCTGGCCCGGTAAATCTAAAGTTTTTTAGATTACCCTTTTCAAGATCTCTGACTGATTTTGTAGCAGCTTACCGAGGAGGTGCTGAGTAGAATTGAATTATTGTAAACTTTAATGTTTAAGTATTAATGAAAATAAACACTGAAGGTAAGATTTAAGGTTTTGTTTATGTTCTTGTTTGTGCAAGGTGAAGCAGCAGAATGTTATTTTAAGGGTATATATTCTTAGGCTTGATTAGTATATTATTAATAATTGTAGTATTAATAGTTGTTTACCAGCGAGGTTTCACAGGTATCATTCTACTGTCTTCTTCTATCTTCATTTTTAGCTATTTATCACAATGTAGTTAAGAAATACACTCAGAGAGGCTAAATGATTTACTTATGAGTATTAACCAAGCAAGTTACAGAACTGAACTCAAACCCATGTCTTCTGATGACGTATCCTTTGTTGTTTCTGCAAGACATATCCTTTGTTGTTTCTGCTTCTCTGCCTAGAAAGTTATCTTTCACGTAGACTTTAACTGTTCCGTTTTGTGGACTTAAACACTGATTTACAACTTCGGATTCATATTATCTCTATAGTGTTACAAAATTCCAACTGTTAAGACTTTGGATATGGGATGGGAGCTCTCTCTCTCAGACATCATTGCCAAGTTATTTTATTTTTGATAGAGCTGTGGGTTTCCTTGGAGGAACACCAGGATGCTTTGGAACTCATCATGAGCAAGTACCGGAAACAGATGTTACAGTTAATGGTTGCTAGAAAAGCTGTGGATGCTGAACCAGTCCTGAAAGCTCACCAGTCTCACTCTGCAGTAAGAAACTTTGAATAAATTCAAAATGAACTGAATTGAAATCTTGAGATTGTTTTCATTGTGTGCTTGTTTTTCTTTTGTTTTTTTGAGATAGGGTCTGGCTCTGTCGACCAGGCTGAGGTGTAGTGGCACAATCTCAGCTCACTGCAACCTCTGCCTCTTGGGCTCAAGCCATCCTCTCATCTCTGCCTCCTGAGCAGCTGGGACTACAGGTGTGCACCACCATGCCCTGTTAATTTTTGTGTGTGTGGTTTTTTGTTTTCTGGTAGAGATGAGTTTTTGCTGTGTTGCACAGGCTGGTTTGAAACTCCTGTGCTCAAGCAATCCATCTATGTTGGCCTTCCAAAGTGCTGGGATTACAGGCATGAACCACTGTGCCTGGCCATGTGTGCTTGTTTTTGAAGAAAAGTAAGCTTGTTTTCCTTTCATGTTTATTACATTTGTTGTTTATTTGCCATGGTTTTGTAAAGATATGAATAGAAAGGAGGAGGATGGGGGCTGCTCAGGTCCTTTTATTTGAGTAGGACTAAGGTACCCCCTCCCTTACCAAGATCTCTTTTGAAGATGTTCATTAATTCTTAGCTCTCCCACCAAACATAATGCCAGTTAGTGTTGAGGATGCCCAGTAAACACTGGGCTGCTTATTACTTATACATGTCACTTAAGCTCCTTCATTGTAAGGAGCATGAATTCATATTTTATTCCTACCATAGTACCTGACATATAGCAGGCGGTCAGTAAACATTTTTTAAACTGAACTACATAGCATTATCCTATGTTGTTAGGGAAGAGAAGTATCCTTTTAAAAAAAAAAAAATCACATAGTTTCTATACTTTGGTTGCTTATGATCTAATCTGAGAGACTCAGTAATTGTTCTTATGTTTGTAGGTGCTTCCTAGTAGTCATTGTACATTCATGTGTACTGTATCATTTAATTCTAGATGTGTAGATTGGAGCCTACTATTTGCTACAATGAGATACAGTGAAAGATAAGCTTCATCTTAAATTCCATTGAATGCATTTTACTGACTTAAAAGTTTTAGGAAACAGATATTTTATAAATATTTGAATGGCTTTCATCTGGAAGAGAAAAGTAGATTTTATTTTTTCTCGTATGGAGTAATAAACTTGAACCTTGAAAGAGACATAGTTTACTCAGATAGATAAACTTTCTAAGTGATATGTCCAAAGATGAAATGTAGTAAGCTTCCTGCCAATGAACGTATTCAAATTTAAGTTAAACAGCCACTTAGAGATAGTATCCAACATCCAATGGGTTTTTCAGAAAAAAAATAAAATAAAAAAATAAAAAAAATTATCTGCGAATACCACAGGTCACTTGACTATGGCTTTATATCTGAGGACTAAAATTGTAGTGAAACTCCACTGTAACTTCTGTAGCATAGATTAAATGAACTTTTAAAAATCATAATGCATACACTCTTATGTTCTTTATTTCTATAGAACAGGTGGTTTTTTTCACCTTTGTTTCCTTAATATCTTCACAGGAAATTGAGAGTCAGATTGACAGAATCTGTGAAATGGGAGAAGTGATGAGGAAAGCAGTTCAGGTGGATGATGACCAGTTTTGTAAGATTCAGGAAAAATTAGCCCAGTTAGAGGTAAGATTGTTGTCATTTTAGGTTCACAGTATTTAAGAGTTTTCAGAGTCTGGAAAATACACCCTCACTGTCCTATCACTGTAATATATTGATGTTTTCTATGTGTTTATGATTTAAAATTAAAACTCCTCCTTCATACCCTATGAAGAAAGGAAATATAGTAAGCAGCAATCAATGGAAATACCAACCATGTATTGGCAAGAAGTCGAGATATCATAATGCGAAGGTAGTGGGAGTGGAGGGGAGAGATTATGTCTGACATAAAATCCTTCATCTGCCGTAATAAGAAGGGAAGTAGATAATACCTAACTAAAATTGATGATCAGGAAATAGCAGTATAAGTGTATTATTCAGAATTATGAATTAAATACCAAAAGAAATAGATAAAACTGAAAGTGGTTGCATTTGGGGTACAAAGCCAAAGAACTGCTTGTATAAGCCTTACAGTCTTGATTTCTTAAAAGCTATGTTTATATCATATTTTGATTAGAATAGGAATATGTTACAAAAAAGGGTTTGGGGCATAGTGTGCCCATAAAATTGTTAAGGAAAAACATTTCAACTTTGGGATGTTAAGGTGAGTGAATTGCTTGAGCCCAAGAGTTCAAGAGCAGCCTGGATAACATGGCGGGAGCCTGTCTTTACAAAAAAAAAAAATACAGAAAATTAGCCAGGTGTGGTAGTGTGCTCCTATAATCCCAGCTACTTGGGGGACTGAGGTGGGAGGATCACATGAACCCGGGAAGTCAAGGCTTCAGTGAGCCATGATCACACGTGCCACTGCACTCCAACCTGAGCGACAGAGTGAGACCGTGTCTCAAAAATTTAAAAGAAAAAAAAGGGGCCGGGCGCGGTGGCTCAAGCCTGTAATCCCAGCACTTTGGGAGGCCGAGGCGGGTGGATCACGAGGTCGAGAGATTGAGACCATCCTGGTCAACATGGTGAAACCCCGTCTCTACTAAAAATACAAAAAATTAGCTGGGCATGGTGGCGCGTGCCTGTAATCCCAGCTACTCAGGAGGCTGAGGCAGGAGAATTGCCTGAACCCAGGAGGCGGAGGTTGCGGTGAGCCGAGATGGTGCCATTGCACTCCAGCCTGGGCAACAAGAGCGAAACTCCATCTCAAAAAAAAAAAAAAAAAAAAAGCAAAGCATTTCAGTTATTGGTTTGAGTGCTGCTTATTACAAGGTGCTGTCCTGGGCCTTTTGAGAAATACCAGAGAGAAAAAATAGGTACCTGCCCAGAGTCTAGTGGAGGGAATAACCCTAGTACTTATATGCTATGAAATAGTATGTAGCTGGGCGCGGTGGCTCAAGCCTGTAATCCCAGCACTTTGGGAGGCCGAGGCGGGTGGATCACGAGGTCAAGAGATCGAGACCATCCTGGTCAACATGGTGAAACCCCGTCTCTACTAAAAATACAAAAAATTAGCTGGGTATGGTGGCAAGTGCCTGTAATCCCAGCTACTTAGGAGGCTGAGGCAGGAGAATTGCCTGAACCCAGGAGACGGAGGTTGCAGTGAGCCGTGATCGTGCCATTGCACTCCTGCCTGGGTAACAAGAGTGAAACTCCGCCTCCAAAAAAAAAAAAAAGAAATAGTATGTAAGTGCTAGGAGACAGATACAAATACTGAAGGAAGCACTTCATGGGGTAAATTTCTCGACCACAGGCTCTAATCTCTTAGTTACTCTAGCTGTGACTTCCACACATGTTGGTGAAGCTAAAAGTGCTTTGGTTTACCAGAATTTTCTGCAGAGAATAAGGATGAAGAGTGCAAGCTACCCTATCTAGAAATCAAAGGTAGTGACAGGTCCCAAATAGGAATTAGGAGCCAGTGAAATGATAGAATGACCTTCTATTTATCCCCAATTTACCTCACTTATGGAAATATCCCTAAGGAAATGTGGGACAGGTTCTACTTTAATACTTCATGTAGAAGAAACATAACCACCAGATTCAGACCCCAGCAGTATCACATCCAAGTTGTCTGAATTTGGACAACTTTTTGGAATTTTGTGAGCCAGAGTATCCCCATCTTAAATAGAATATGGATGTAGGCAGTGATGCCGTACCCTACGGGGTACTATGAGATAATATATACAGTGCACCCATGTAGTACCCAGCTACATGCTTAATAAGTAGTTTCTTTACCCCTTTTCTTCCATTTCTCTAGAACTATAAGATATCCAGGAGTGGAGACTAATCAGAGTGAAATGATTATTAGGAATTTCTTAAATAAAACAAATAATAGGAAAACTGTGGGAACCATGAAGAATATAACAGTGAATTCCTCAGGTGGAGAGGGACCTTGTTTATTGTTTCTCCTTTGTAAGCCTCACACTTGGTATATAGAAATTACTCAGTAAATTACTACTACAAAAGAGTATCATTGCCTACATTCTACATGTAAATGTTTGTTAAATGAATCAATAATTAGTATTTAAGGAAATTCTCAGTTAGTAGACTTTTTGTTTCCTTAAAATTTTTTTTTTTTTTTTTTTTTTTTTTTGAGATGGAGTTTCGCTCTTGTTAACCCAGGCTGGAGTGCAATGGTGCGATCTCGGCTCACCACAACCTCCACCTCCTGGGTTCAGGCAATTCTCCTGCCTCAGCCTCCTGAGTAGCTGGGATTACAGTCACGCACCACCATGCCCAGCTAATTTTTTTTTGTATTTTTAGTAGAGACGGGGTTTCACCATGTTGACCAGGATGGTCTCGATCTCTTGACCTCGTGATCCACCCGCCTCGGCCTCCCAAAGTGCTGGAATTACAGGCGTGAGCCACCGCGCCCGGCCCCCTTAAAATTTTTTAAATTAAAATAATGTTTTCTGCTCCTGGCCCAAAATAATGTGTTTTTATAATACAGTTTGACAGTAAAAAATATCAGAAATAAACATGCCTTTTTTTTCCAGCTTGAAAATAAGGAACTTCGAGAATTATTGTCCATCAGCAGTGAGTCTCTTCAAGCCAGAAAGGAAAACTCAATGGACACTGCTTCGCAAGCCATCAAATAACTGAACTCTGAATGATGGCTGGAGATTGTCTATCAAGGAAGGAAGTTGTTATCTTCCCATTCAAGTACTGTTCATTAAGTGTCTTGCCTCAGATTTGATTTAATCGTGATTAAAGTTATCAGGTGGCAATTTAGAATTTCCAGTCAATATTGCTGTCCACAAAAACGGTTCTCAGATGTATTAATGTGGATACATGCTGAATTTCACTATTCCTTTCTCAAAGAGACGACTTTTAATTTTTATTTCTGGGAACTTGATTTATATAAACTGTGTTTTCAGTTCATTGTTATTTTTCACATCTCTGAAACTTTGAGCATTTTTTTATAAGCCAACAATTTTATTATGTATAGCATTGTAAAATACACTTCTAGGAAATTTTAGGAGAGATTTAACTTTTTTAATTTATTTGGCATAAACCTTGATTTATCTTTTTTTCATTTGACATAAATAATACAATTCCACAGAACTAAATCAGCAGATTCTCTGATTTGTAATGTCATTCGCCTGTGAAGTTTTAAGTCTCTCTGGTGCTAAGAATTGTCACTTTATGGCCTGGTGCCTTTGCTTTTAATTTGAGAGAACCTACTGCTAGTCCCAGGAAACATACTTGAAAATAAGTCAGCTATTTTTTTCCCCAGTGATAGTATAGTTGTCATATATTGTTCAAAGTTCATTTTGTTCAGGTCGGGCACGGTGGCTCAAGCCTGTAATCCCAGCACTTTGGGAGGCCGAGGCGGGTGGATCACGAGGTCGAGAGATCGAGACCATCCTGGTCAACATGGTGAAACCCCGTCTCTACTAAAAATACAAAAAATTAGCTGGGCATGGTGGCTCGTGCCTGTAATCCCAGCTACTCAGGAGGCTGAGGCAGGAGAATTGCCTGAACCCAGGAGGCGGAGGTTGCGGTGAGCCGAGATCGCGCCATTGCACTCCAGCCTGGGTAACAAGAGTGAAACTCCGTCTCAAAAAAAAAAAAGTTCATATTGTTCAAAGCTGAGGAACTTGTCTTGTGTATGTGCATGCACCTACTTCAAATACTGAGTAGCTTTTATTAAATATAATCATCTAAAAGCACAAGAAAATCAAAAACCCAAATATAATGAGTCAATTTTTCTTGTCTTTTTTTTTTTTCTGAGACAGAGTCTCACTCTGTTGCCAGGCTGGTGTGCAGCGGCATGATCTTGGCTCACTGCAGCCTCCAACTCTGTGGTTCAAGTGATTCTCCTGCCTCAGCCTCCCAAATACCTGGGATTACAGGCACATGCCACCACATTCAGCTAAGTTTTGTATTTTCAGTAGAGACAGCATTTCAATATGTTGGCCAGGATGGTGTTGATCTCCTGACATCATGATCCGCTCACTTCAGCCTCCCTGAGTCAATTTTTCAATGTTATCCTACTAGTTCTACATATTTTAACTTTTATATAATTTCCATTTTATAGTTAAGAATCATCACTTAGTTGGATTGGATGCCTTTCATTCCTAGCACTAATAGTTGACTTTCTTTTTGTCAAAAATAGTTGTCTATTTTTTACATAAAAGTAGCTTTTTTTCTTTTTAAAGCTATATAAAAAGGTAAGGAAGCAGTTTAATTACCTAATGAGAATTATTACACTCATAATGCTATGTAGGCAACATTGAGATTCAAATGCCCAGTGGTCAGCTGGATTCACTCATCAAATCATTCCTGGTTCAGTTTACTCACATTTCATAGTTATAAATTTCTTCATGTTATAGTTGTATTTAGATTTGCCCAGAATTCGTTGAGATAATGCTAAACCTATATTTTCCAATAACATTAAGCACCGTAATGCATGGGAGAGACACGGTATTAAAAAGAGTTGTTAGTGCTTTATGTGATGTAATATTTCTTTCGTACTGCTATAAAGAACTAACTCCAGTTAAAACAACAGAATCTTTCAAAGATGTCCTAAAGCATCTGATCCCAGTAATACTAATGGATGTCACCTAGAGCATTGGGTGTTAATGAATAGTTATGTCATTTAAGAATTTTTCAAATTTCTGTTCTATATCCTGCATAGCATTTGACAAAAAAACACCTCCAGATGTGAGCGTTTTTTAATTTCATTTCCCAAGAGTAAGTAATTAGCCCAGCCATTTGCCTTGCAGTATATCTTAGGTGACCCCATAAGTCCATCCAAGAGATAGGTACTCTATACCATTTAGCAGCCATGGCCAAACCTACCATGGCTAGATTTCAGTGAAAATGATAAAATAATCAAATTAAGGTATAATATGGTGTCCCTTTGTCTGCTTTATGTTCCTTTCGAGCTGTTTATGAAGTTCTTTATATCTCAAGTATCAGGATAAATCTGCATATTAACTTTTCCCCCTGGGAAATCAAAAGCCTGAAGTACAAGTCTAAGAAGCTTTTAATGCCCTGCATAATATAAATTCTGGCTGGTATTAATGCTATGAAGATAATGTGTAGTTAGCAAATTGAGTGAGGGAGAAGTGTTCTTCCTTTTAAATGGATTTTAAAGTTTCTCCTTCAGTGGGTGAAGAACTTGCCTGGTTAAAATCTTAGTTCACAATTATCTTTTCTAACAAAAACTGCACTTTCAGAAGATTAGCTAATTTTACTCATTAATAAGTCAAATTAGGAAATGCAGAGGGTTTTTTTACATATATAAAAACCTTGTCAAGTAGTCATCATGAGAGTCATACATACTTTGTTAATTAGCACAGTATATTCAGTAGTGTAACTCTATAAATAGTAGTTTATATTGGTGTAGTATTATGTCAATAATTCTTATATTAACACCTTACGCATAATTTGATTCAAACATTGAAGGTTTATTTTAGTATTCTTCAAAATGTGGTTCCCTGATCTACTGAAATAGAAATTTGGAGATGGAGTTCAAGAATTGGTATTCTAATAATCATCCCAGACAATTCCTAAAGACACTAATTTTAAAATGTCTAGTCTAGGCCCCATTGTGTAATGATTAGCACTCTAAAAGATTAAAAAGAAAAAAAGTCTAGTATGTGCCAACTACTTCATTAATAGTTATGAATTTAAAAATGAAAAATTCTGGTATAGGAGACAAGTATATATATCATTATAATGCTGTGTGAGAAATCCATTATGTAAGTCTGTATAGGATATAGAAAAGGGACTTTAAACTTGAGAATTCAATAGAGATAATAAATGGGTAGGAGGGAAGTAGAAAACCTTGGTGCCACAAAAGCAAAGTATATGTGGTATTGCCAATAATGGCACACTATTGAGTGCTTTACTATGTGTCAGGTACTGTATTATATAATCTCCACTTTAACTGTACCTCATTTTGCAGATACTCGGGCACAAGGAGGTGGTTATTTGTCCAAACTGGAACCAAGATTCAAACCCAGACAGAGTCTTAAGCACATTTTTAATCACTAACTTGAGATACCTTTAAATGCCAAATACTGCTGGGAGTTCAAATGTTTCTTGAATAGCAAAATCTATTTTTATTAATAGTCTAATAGTGTGAAACACCACAGCTCATATATTAGAAAAATTATGAATTCAATAAATGGAGTCTTAACTAATGAGATAGTGTTTTCTAGAATGGTATAGCTGAGAGTATGTATGCATTCAACTAAAAGGGATCCTGTAAAACCAGTGACTCTTAATACATTACACACAGGAAAAGGTGCAGTTTTGTCTTTCCAATCTGCCTCCTTACCATGTTGGCTTTCATCCCTCGTGCTATTTTCTTGTGTTTGCCAGAAAATTGTTGCTGAGCCAAATGTCATGCCATGTTTAAGGCAGGGAAGAAAAAATGGAAATGCCCTGTGCCAGCTACATATATCCCCTTTTATGAGGGAAAATAGAGCTTTCCCAGAAATTCCAAATGGATTTTCCCTTGGCTTAATTGCCTAACCAGTTAAATGGCCACTGGTACCTGCAAAGAAAGCAGGGTACATAGCTGTCCCAAATAAAATTAGTATTACCAGGCAGGGCGCGGTGGCTCAAGCCTGTAATCCCAGCACTTTGGGAGCCCGAGGCGGGTGGATCACAAGGTCAATAGATCGAGACCATCCTGGTCAACATGTTGAAACCCCATCTCTACTAAAAATACAAAACATTAGCTGGGCATGGTGGCATGTGCCTGTAATCCCAGCTACTCAGGAGGCTGAGGCAGGAGAATTGCCTGAACCCAGGAGGCGGAGGTTGCAGTGAGCTGAGATCGCGCCATTGCACTCCAGCCTGGTTAACAAGAGCGAAACTCTGTCTCAAAAAAAAAAAAAAAAAATCAGTATTACCAAGAAGAAAGAATGCTGAGAAAGCAACTAACGGTGCCTGTGACTGTTACATTGTCAAGTCCTTCCCCTTGAATATAGTTTTGGAAGAATTAGCTGAAGGAGTGCGTTGATGTTGAATAGCTAGAAGAATGGGCTATAGCAGACATCTGTCACTTCTCTTTTAGCTGCCCAGTATCTTAACTCCTGTGTTTAGGGAATCCCTCACCTAATGACGGAGAGCATTCCGCATTCCTCCCTCCTAAAGAATTTGAAACTACCAGGTAAATGTTTTCTCAGCCTCTTTTGCAGCCTTCAACTTTAAAGTTAGTGATAAAAAGAAGCAAGGAACCATGCAGATTCCTTTGAAGATGGTAACTAACAAAACTACTGCATTCATCTCCACAGAGGAGCAGCAAAAGTGCTTTAGTGATAATCTCTAATTCCCTTTTTTTTAGACAGAGTCTTGCTCTGTCACCCAGGCTGGAGCACAGTGGCACTATCTCAGCTCACTGCAATCTCCGCCTTCTGCATTCAAGCAATTCTCCTGCCTCAGCCTTCCTCCCTCAGCTGGGATTATAAGTGCCCACCACCACGCCCAGCTAATTTTTGTATTTTTAGTAGAGATGGGGTTTCTCCATGTTGGCCAGGCTGGTCTGGAACTTCTAACCTCAGGTGATCTGCCCGCCTCGGCCTCCCAAAGTGCTGGGATTATAGGCATGAGTCACCATGCCTGGCCTGTTACCTCTAATTCTTGTTTGCTAGGTGTCCTAAAGATTCCGAGAATTACTTTTAATAAAATCAGGGTGTTTTTGTTGTTGTTAAAACCTACCTGAATTACCTATAACCAAGAACTCTGCTTGATAAAATAAGCATAGTTTTGGGAACAACCATACACATATGAATTTTATTAATATTTACGCATAATTTTGGACTTAATTTTAATGTAATTTTGATGCTTATAAAAGGGTAAATGTGGAATGCAAATAAATTATCAAGTATAATAACTCATCACCTAACTTAAGAATGATAACATTAGCAGTGCTTGCATTTATCTATTTGAGATCCTTTCCTATCTTTGCCCACCCCACTGCTCTCTTTTTAATAGTTTTATTCACATGTAAAAACACCTGAAATACATATATATACCTAAAGTGACTTATTTTTTAGTTTTCTTTTTGAACTTCAAAAAAATTGTATCATACCCTATGTAGTCCAAGGATTTGATTCTTTTTTCACTTAACATATCTCTAAGATTCATATGTTTTATATCTGTCATTTTCATGGATGTATATTTCATTTCTGGATCATACAACATATTGTTAAGGAATATATAATAAATTATACATTTTTTTAAAATCCTTGCTAATATCTTGCTAATTTTTAACTCTCCTTTCCTCTGCCTCATTTATATTAAAAACATTTAACTATAAGAGGTCATATTTCTTTTTTTTGTTTGTTTGTTTTTTTGTTTTTTTGTTTTTTTTTGAGACGGAGGTTTCGCTCTTGTTACCCAGGCTGGAGTGCAATGGCGTGATCTCGGCTCACCGCAACCTCTGCCTCCTGGGTTCAAGCAATTCTCCGGTCTCAGCCTCCTGAGTAGCTGGGATTACAGGCATGCACCACCATGCCCAGCTAATATTTTGTATTTTTAGTAGAGACGGGGTTTCACCTTGTTGACCAGGATGGTCTCGATCTCTTGACCTCATGATCCACCCGCCTCGGCCTCCCAAAGTGCTGGGATTACAGGCTTGAGCCACTGCGCCCAGCCAAGAGGTCATATTTCATATTCTGCAGTTATTTCACTGATATATCTCATGGCAACTTTCAGAATGAATTAAGGGGTATTATCTGCTAATACAGGAAAAAGCAGTTAATGCTTTTTGTTTTGTCACTCCTGGAATGCTAAAGGGGAGGCAGAACCTTCAGAGCTTCAGTTAACTACAGCTTCACTCAAAATTTCATCTAGCCTTGTAGAAATATGTGTAGAACTAATTGATGAATTTTTGTATGTTACTGATTATAAGATTCTATTTCTTATTTTAACATCTTTGATATTGGGATATATCTTACATCAGAATCACAGGTTCTGATGTTGTTGACTTGTAAGCATAGACAAAATTGGTTTGCACTCATGGTGGATGACTGGACAAAGACAGTCTCCAAATTTCTTTTTTTTTTTTTTTAATTTTTAGTATACTTTAAGTCCTGGGGTACATGTGCAGATCATGTTACATAGGTATACACTTGCCATGGTGGTGGTTTGCTGCATCCATTGCCCCGTCATCTACATTAGGTTTTTATCCTAATGCTATCCCTCCCCAATCCCCCAGCCCCTGCTATTCCTTCCCTGGCACCCCCCCATGCCCCAGTGTATGATGTTCTCATCACTGTGTCCATGTGTTCCTCATTATTCAACACCCACTTATGAGTGAGAACATGTGGTGTTTGGTTTTCTGTTCTTGTGTCAGTTTGCTGAAAATGATGGTTTCCAGTTTCATGCATGTCCCTGCAAAGAACATGAACTCATCCTTTTTCGTGGCTGCATAGTACTCCATGGCGTGTATGTGCCAAATTTTCTTTATCCAGTCTATCACTGATGGGCATTAGTGTTGGTACCAAGTCTTTGCTATTGTGAACAGTGCTGCAATAAACATATATATGCATGTGTCTTTATAATAAAATGATTTATAATCCTTTGGGTATATATCTAGTAATGGGATTGCTGGGTCAAATAGTATTTCTATTTCTAGATCCTTAAAGAATTGCCAACTGGCTTCCACAATGGTTGAATTACCATGTCAATATTTCAATCAAACTAAGGACCATTTGAAAAAGAAACATGGGTTTTAGCCATTTTCTGTACTTTCCATTGATACCTTATCAAAAGTGTGCCTTATAAAATTTGGAGTATGGCTGGCTGTATTAGTCTTCTACTATAAAACAAATTACCACAAATAACAGTTTAAAGCAACATTGACTTATCTCACAGTTCTGTAGGTCTAAAGTCTATGCAGGGCTCAAATGAGTTCTCCTCTCATATACTCACAAGGCTAAAATCAAGGTGTCAAAACTAACTGCATCTTATCTGAGATTCCAGGCTCTCTCCCACATTCACATAGCTAATGACAAAATCCATTTTGGTACATCTGTACAACTCAAAGACTGTCTTCAAGGCCAACAGGACATCATCTCTGACTTCTCTTTTAAGAATACATCTAAGTCACGTCCAGCCAGAATATCTCCCTTTTAGACTCCCTTTTAAGAATACATCTGAGTCAGGTCCAGCCAGAATATCTCCCTCTTGATTAACTCAGCTGATTAGAGATCTTAATTATATCTGCAGTAATCTCTTTGTAAGACAAGAGATATAAGTGTAAAAAAAAAAAAAAGAAAAGAAAAGAAAAAAGAGATAATAAGTGACACAGCTTCTCACAACCACATTTCACCTATGCTTACAATGGGATGATATAAGACATGTATAGCGGCATGAGAATCTTGGTGATCAGCTTGGAATTCTGCCTACCACTGACTTTTAACAGCTTGGAATAAAATCCTGGAAACCATGAAGCACTTTTTGAGGAATGCTACATTATGAGTGTCCTTGGTGGGTTCAAAATAATTCTATGTGGAAAAACCTGGACATCTATAAACCAGAAAGACTCAGCAAGATCCACCAATGGATGGTGGACAAAAATTTAAGCAAAAACAGGATATTTATATGTTTGTGTTAGTACCTAGAGTTGCCATAACAAATGAACTCAAACTGGGTGGCTTAAAACAAATTTATTCTTTCAGTCCTGGAGGCTAGAAGTCTGAGGGAGAATGTGTTCCATGCCCCTCTCCTAGCTTCTGGGGTTGCTGGCAATTCTTGTTCCCTGATTTCCAGATGTATCACTTCAATCTCTTGTCTTCATCTGGCATTCTCCATGTATGTCTCTAGTTAGTGTATAAAATTCCCTCTTCTAAGGACACTACTCACTGGGATTCAGGCCCACTCTAATCCAGTATGACTTTATCTTAACTTGATTACATCCACAAAGGCCCTATTCTAAAGGTTACATTTTAAGGTTCTGTGTGGGAATGAATTTATGGGGGACACTATTCAGTACATTACCAAGGCATTGCCCCACCCCAAAATATTTACTGATTACAAAAGGGAAAGTAGTAATTTTACAATGGAGAATCTTGGCAGACACAAACTGATCAAACTGACTAAGGTAAACATCATTAATAATACACTTCAACACCTAGGCACGGTGGCTCACACTTGTTATCCTAGCACTTTGGGAGGCCAAGGTGGGTGGCTCACCGGAGGTCAGGAGTTCGAGAGCAGCCTGGCCAACATGGTGAAACCCCGTCTCTACTAAAAATGCAAAAATTACCCAGGCGGGGTGGTGGGCACACGTAATCCCAGCTACTCAGGAAGCTGAGGTGGTAGAATTGCTTGAACCCGGGAGGCAGAGGCTGCAGTGCATCAAGATCATGCCAAAGCACTCCAGCCTGAGCAGCAGAGCGAGACCTCATCTCAAATAATAAGACTAATACACTTCAACATTATATACCCCTGATATTGATGCAATGAGAGGCACATAACCTCTGTAGTCTTCTTCCATGCAATGCATTACCTCAATCTAATCAAGAGAAAACATCAGACAAAATCAAATGAGGGATATTTGTGAAGTAACTCACTGATACTGTTTCAAAGTATATATATGTTTTCTGAATCAGTATCTTACTCTATTACCCAGACTAGGGACAGTAGCGCTATCTCTGCTCACTGCAATGTCTACCTCCTGAGTTCAAGCAATTCGTAGCCTCAGCCTCCAGGGTAGCTGGGATTGCAGGTGCCTCCCACCACACCCAGGTAATTGTTGCATTTTTAGTAGAGATGGGGTTTCACCATGTTGACCAGGCTAGTCTCAAACTCCTGACCTCAAGTGATACACCAGCCTCAACCTCCCAAAGTGCCGGGATTACATGTATGAGCCACCGTGCCCAGCCTGTTTCAGTGTTAAAGCTGTAAAAGACAAAGATTGAAGAACTGTCATAGAAGGGAGACATAAAAACTAAATGCAGTGTGGGATTCTAGATTTGATCCTGGAAGAGAAAATGGACATTGGAGGAAAAGCTGGTGTAGTGCAAAATAAATTTATAGTTCAAGTCATATTACCATGTCAAAATGGATTTCCTAATTTTGAAAATTGTTCTATAGTTATGTAAGGTTAAAATAGGGGAAGCAGGTACAGGGTTTATAGAAACTTCCTCTACTTTTTTTTTTTTTGGAGACAGAGTCTCAACTTGTCACCCAGGCTGGAGTGCAGTGGCACGATCTCAGCTCACTGCAAACTTCGTCTCCCAGGTTCAAGCGATTCTTCTGCCTCAGCCTCCTGAGTAGCTGGGATTACAGGCACCCACCACCATGCCCAGCTAATTTTTTTATTTTTAGTAGAGACAGAGCTTTGTCATGTTGGCTATGCTGGTCTTGAACTCCTGACGTCAGGTAGTCTGCCCATCTCAGCCTCCCAAAGTGCTGGGACTACAGGTTGTAAGCCACCGCGCCTGGTCTTCTGTACTATTTTTCTACATCTTCTTTAAGTGTAAAAATCTAAAAAAAAAAAAAATCTCAAGTACCTATCTGCCTATACAGGTTTTTTGGTCTTTTCTACATTTTCCTTTTCTTTCCTATTGGCTTTTTCTTACTAAGTAATAGTAAATTAATACTAAGATGTATTAATTTACTATATGTTCATGATACCAATACATTATTTTATATGTTACAAATACATATAGTCTGTTGATTTTTAAAACTTTTTTATATTGCCTCTTGATTAATGGAATTTTAAAAATATGGTCAAACTTATTACTAAAAAGAAAGATTCAGAAGAGTTAGACTTTGTGAAGAAGTTTTAGGAATATCTTAACAAATTTATTTTGCTTCTTTTTAAAATTCATTTACACACAAGAGGGATACCTGATATAAATCTATGTCTAGGCTGGGCACAGGTGGCTCATGCCTGTAACCCCAGCACTTTGGAAGGCCGAGGCAGGAGGATTGCTTGAGCCCAAGAGTTCAAGACAAGCCTGAGCATGGCAAAACCCCATTTCTATAAATAAATACAACAATTAGCCAGGTATAATAGTGCACGCCTGTAGTCTCAGCTACTCAGATGGCTGAGGCAGGAGGATTGCTTGAGCCTGGGAGGTAGAGGCTGCAGTGAGCTGAGACCATGCCACTGCAATGCAGCTTGGGTAAAACCCTGTCTTTAAAAAAAAAAAAAAGAAGAAGAAGAAGTAAGTTTAAAAGTTATTTCAAAGAATATAAAATAAAAATTCTAAGTAATGAAAGTTTTATTTCATAATCGTAGTAGTCCATTCTCATGCTGCTGTAAGACATACCCAAAACTGGGTAATTTATAAAGAAAAGAGGTTAAATTGACTTTCAGTTCTGCAAGGCTGGGGAGGCCTCAGAAAACAATCATTGCAGAAGGGGAAGCAAACACATCCTTCTTCACATGGTGGCAAGAAGGAGAATGAGTGCTGAGCAAGGGGGAAAAGCCCCTTATAAAACCATCAGATACGTGGGACGCAGTGGCTCATGCCTGTAATCCCAGCACTTTGGGAGGCTAAGGCAGGTGAATCACTTGAGGGCAGGAGTTCGAAATCAGCCTGATCAACATGGTGAAACTCCATCTCTAGTAAAAAAAAAATTCAAAATCAGCTGGGCATCGTGGCACATGCCTGTAATCCCAGCTACTTGGGATGCTGAGGCAGAAGAATTGCTTGAACCCAGGAAGTGGAGGTTGCAGTGAGCCAAGATCACCCCATTGCATTCCAGCCTGGCAACAAGAACAAAACTCCATCTCAAAAAATAAATAAAAATAAAATCATCGGATATTGTGAGAACTCACTCACTCTCATGAGAACAGCACGTAGGGATAACCACCCCCATGATTCAATTACCTTCGACAGGGTTCCTCCCACAACATATGAGTATTATGGGAACTAGAATTCAAGATGAGATTTGTGAGAGGACACAGCCAAACCATATCATTGTGCCCATGGCCCCTCCCAAATCTCATATCCTCACAATTAAAAACATGATCATGCCTTTCCAACAATCCTCCAAAGTCTTAGCTCATTCCAGCATTAACCCAAAAGTCCAAGTCCAAAGTCTCATCTGAAACAAGGCAAGTCCCTTCCACCTATGAAACTGTAAAATCGAAAGCAATTTAGTTATTTCCTAGATACAATGGGGGTACAGACATTGGGTAAATATACCCTTTCCAAATGGGAGAAATTGGCCAAAACAAAAAGGCTATAGGCCCCATGCAAATCCAAAATACAATACAGCAGTCATCAAACCTTAAAGTTCCAAAATTATTTCCTTTGACTGACTTGATGTCTCACATCCAGGTCACATTGATGCAAGAGGTAGGCTCCCCATGACCTTGGGCAGCTCTGCCCCTGTGGCTTTGCAGGGTACAGCCCCCCTCCCAGCTGCTTTCACAGCTGGCATTAAGTGTCTGCAGTTTTTCCAGGCACACAGTGCAAGCTGTCAGTGGATCTACCATTCTGGAGGATGACAGTCCTCTTTTCACAGCTCCACTAGGCAGTACTTCAGTGGGCTCTGTGTGGGGTCTCCAATCCCACATTTCCCTTCTGTACTGCCCTAGCAGAGGTTCTCATGAGGGCTCTACCCCTACAGCAGACTTCTGCCTGGACATCCAGGCATTTCCATACATCCTCTGAAATCTAGGAGGAGGTTCCCAAACCTCAATCCTTGACTTCTACATACTGACAGGCCCAATACCATGTGTTAGCTGCCAAGACTTGGGGCTTGCACTCTCTGAAATAACAGCCTGAGCTATACCATCCATGCCAAACCTGGCTCCAAACAAAATGCTGTAACAGATTTGACAGCAGAAGCCGTAAATGTAGCTATTGCAGCACCGCCATCAGAGGGAGAGGCTAACGCTGAGCTCTGTCGGTATCTTTCCAAGGTCCTAGAACTCAGGAAGAGCGATGTGGTTTTGGATAAGGATGGGAAATCTCGTGAAAAGGTGGTGAAGCTTTTGGCCTCTACAACTCCAGAAGAGATCTTGGAGAAATTTAAAAAGGAAGCCAAAAAAAACATAAGAGCAAGAAATGAGGCCAGGTGTGGTGGCTCATGCCTGCAGTCCCAGCACTTTGGGAGGCTGAGCAGGCAGATCACCTGAGGTCAGGAGTTTAAGATCAGCCTGACCAACATGGTGAAACCCTGTCTCTACTAAAAATACAAAATTAGCTGTGTGTGATGGTGCATGCCTGTAATCCCAGCTACTCGCGAGACTGAGGCAGGAGAATCGCTTGAACCCAGGAGGCGGATGTTGCAGTGAGCTGAGATCATGCCATTGCACTCCATCCTGGGCAACAAGAGTGAACTCCCTCTCAAAAAAAAAAAAAAAAAGAAATGAAAAATACATCCTTGAGAAACTTTTTTATTGCTAACGGTAAAAAGGCTGTTAAATAGAAACATATACTATATCCACAGACGAGCATGCAGAGAGTAATATACATATTCAAATAAGACTTCAAAAAGTAGAAATTTTAAAAGTGCTATACATTGAATACAGGTTCTGAAATCCCTAACCCCAAACAGCCTGGAACATGTTACTCTGATTTCATGGCATTATAAAATAACAAGAGCTGGAAAGAGTATTCAAGATGACCTGATTTAACACCTTTCATTCTGTGGGCGGAGCTTCTGATACCCAGAAGTTGTGAGACTTACTCAAGATTGTACCATGCAAGCTGGCAACTAGAACTCAGATCTTTTGACTCCTTGTTGAATTAAGTTTTTCCAGATTGTAAATTAAAATCATCATATCTCCAAAAAAAAAAAAAAAAAAGTATACCATCTATACTTTGGCTTCTTTTAGCCATAGCTGCAGGTGAAGCAGCTGAGACTCAGGATACCATGTCCAAAGGCTGCACATATCCCAAAGCTGCACATATTTCAAGGCTGCACAGAGCAGGTGGGGCCTGGGCCTGGCTCAGGAAACTATTTTTCCTTCCTTGGTCTGCCTGCTCAGCCTCCCAAAGTGCTGGGAGGGGCTGCTATGAAGCACTCTGACATGCCCTGGAGACATTGCTCCATTGTCTTGATGATTAGCATTTGTCTCCTCCTTACTTATGCAAGTTTCTACAGCCAGCTTGAATATCTCCCCAGAATATGGGTTTTTCTTTTCTACTGCATCACCAGGCTACAAATGTTCTAAACTTTCATGCTCTGCTTCCCTTTTAAACATAAGTTCCAATTCCAAACCATCTTTGCGAATGCATAAAACTGAATGCTTTTAAGAGCACCCAATCCACCTTTTAAATGCTTTGCCACTTAGAAACCTCTTCCATTAGATACCCTAAATCATCATAGATCTCTAGGGCAGGGGCAAGATGCTGCCAGTCTCTTTGCTAAAGCATAGCAAGAATCACTTGTATTCCAATTCCCAACAAGTTCCTCATCACTATCTGAGACCACTTCAGCCTATGGACTTCATTGTCCATATTATTATCAGCATTTTAGTTACAGGCTTTCCCACATCTTCCTATCTTCTGAGCCTTCAATTCTCTAGGGATTTCCAAACCTTCCCACATTTTTCTTTCCTCTTCTGAGACCTCCAAACTGTTCCCGCTTCTACCTACCCAGTTCCAAAGTTGCTTTCACATTTTCAGATATCCTTAATGCAGTGCCGAAATAGCTGCTGGTACCAATTTGCTGTATTAGTCCATTCTCATACTGCTATAAGGATACCCCCAAGACTGGATAATTTATTTTAAAAAAGAGGTTTGATTGACTCACAGTTCAGCATAACTGGGAAGGGCTCAGGGAACTTAGAATCATGGTGAAAGGGGAAGCAAACACATCCTTCTTCACATAGTGGCATAAAAAAGAATGACTACTGAGCAAGGGCGGAAAAGCGCCTTATAAAACCATCAGATCTCATGAGAACTCACCATCACAAGAACAGCAGCATGAGGGTAACTGCTCCCATTATTCAATTACCTCCCACTGGATCCCTCCCATGACACTTGGGGATTATGGGAACTACAGTTTAAGATGAGATTTGGGTGGGGACACACCTAAACTGTATCAATAATGAAAACTACATATTTTCTTATTAGTAGTCCATAAATGATGACCTATCATACAATCGCTACTGCCTTGAATTCAATAAAATAAGTGTAATTTACTCATTCAATGAATATTGTTTAAATATTTACTGCATATGTAAGTCACTGTGCCAGGTTTTTGGGATACAACGATGTACTAGACTAGAGAATTGAAGCTTACGCTATAGTTCACAGGGATGAGCAACAAGCAAATGAAAAGTGATAGTTTAGTTGGTACTTTTACTTTAGAAAAGGTCTTTGTGAGGTGGTAACAGTTGACCTGAAATCTGAATGATGAGAAAGTAACAAGAGATTTGGGCTACAACATTCCAGGAAGAGGCAACAGTAAATTCATGGGCGTTGAAGTAGGAACAAACTTACAATGTTAGAAGAACCAGTGAACAGAGGTTAGAGAATTTGGTGGGGACTAGATCATTCAGGGCCTTGAAGAGCACAGTAAAAGAGTTTGGATTTAAGTTAAATACAATTGGATTTCATGAGGATTGAGTTTAAGTTAAATTATAAATATACTTTTTTCTACCTTTCCCTCCATTAACTGACTCCCAGAGCTACAATGTGAGATGGTTACTTTTGGGGTAGCAGTTTAGCATGTCCACATAATTCTCCCATTAAGTGCAATGTTAACATTTTAATTTTTTTTTTTTTTTTTTTTTTTTTTTTTGAGACGGAGTTTCGCCCTTGTTACCCAGGCTGGAGTGCAATGGCACGATCTCTGCTCACCGCAACCTCCGCCTCCTGGGCTCAGGCAATTCTCCTGCCTCAGCCTCCTGAGTAGCTGGGATTACAGGCACGTGCCACCATGCCCAGCTAATTTTTTGCACTTTTAGTAGAGACAGGGTTTCACCATGTTGCCCAGGATGGTCTCGATCTCTCGACCTTGTGATCCACCCGCCTCGGCCTCCCAAAGTGCTGGGATTACAGGCTTGAGCCACCGCGCCCGGCTAATGTTAACATTTTAAAGGGAAGCATTATACAAAGCTTTTGCATTCTTATTTAAATTCTAATATTTTATTTTTTGAGTGTTATGATTACATTACTCTTACTTATATAATGCACTTTAACTGTTTAGAGGCTAGTAAAAGAATAAAAAGTTGTGGGTTGTAGGCCTATAGGACCAAATCTTAATTATTTACATTAATTCTTATGGAAATAATTCTTCCTTATGAATGTGTTTGCTTTGGAAGTATTATTTCTGTGCTGAAACCTTGGATGTGGACTCCTTTTCCATCCACTATTATCCTAATTTTATCTTGTTTACTTAATTAAATATTTTTTAAGACAGAGTCTCATTATGTTGCCCAGGCTGAGGTGCAATAGCACAATATGGCTCACTGCAGCTGTGACCTCCCAGGCTCAAGCAATTCTCTCATCTTAGCCTCCTGAGTAGCTGGAACCACACATGCATCGCCACACCTGGCTAATTTTTAATTTTTTTTTTTTTGTAAGGACAGGGTTTCTCCACATTGTCCCGGCTGGTCTGGAACTCCTGAGCTCAAGTGATCCTCCCATCTCAGCTTCTAAAGTCAGAGATTACAGGTGTGAGCCACCGTACACAGCCTATCATAATTTTATAAAAGAAGATCCTCTTTAGCTTTCCTAAATAGGAAGGACATACTGTCAGAATAAAAACAACTCTTAAAATCTGGGATAAATTTAGCCTTATTTAAATGTTTAAAAAGCTCTACATTGACCTAATTTTTCTCATTCAACAGAGAAATGACAAAAATCTCAACCACTACTGCTCAAGAAAACCTTACAAACTGTAAGAAATGCTTAAATGCTTACTTTTGATTCTAAAGTGGACTTCAGAGATAATGCGCTTATTGATGATTGTAGAGGGAAAAAACACACAACCATTATCAATTTCGTTGTTTAAGTTTCTCAGAGTAGGCCGGGCGCGGTGGCTCAAGCCTGTAATCCTAGCACTTTGGGAGGCCGAGGCGGGTGGATCATGAGGTCGAGAGATCGAGACCATCCTGGTCAACATGGTGAAACCCCGTCTCTACTAAAAGTACAAAAAATTAGCTGGGCATGGTGGCACGTGCCTGTAATCCCAGCTACTCAGGAGGCTGAGGCAGGAGAATTGCCTGAACCCCGGAAGCGGAGGTTGCAGTGAGCCGAGATCGCGCCATTGCACTCCAGCCTGGGTAACAAGAGCGAAACTCTGTCTCAAAAAAAAAAAAAAAAAGTTTCTCAGAGTAGAAAAGTAACTATGGTGAATAACTAAAAATAATTTCTCAAAAATTTTTTTTTCTGATGGTTCCTTAACAGACTATCTTCCCAAAATCCATGTCACCCTGTTGTATGGGAGATGGTTTTCCAAAGCGATTTAACAAGTTTCTGATTTAATTTAAAAAAACAACATAAAAAAGATAACCACTCATTTTTTTCAGTTTTTGATTTGATTTCAAAATTCATCTGTAAAAAGAAATCATTATGTAGTGATCTAAAAATGAAACCTACCTCTATTTATGGGTTTTATTTGTAGAAAGAGTAAATCATTTTAACTTGTGATTTACAGCAAATTGCTCCACCTGTTACTTTCTTTAATATATTAGAAGCTAAAATGTATATTTCTGGATTTATACAGATTTGCATTTTGTGTTCACTGTAAATTGATACTAATTTTGGAACAAGGAGGAGTTTTTAAAAAATTTAAAGGAATTTAAAGGCAATTGGGATATATTCAGAATGATGATGATGAAATGATCATATAATTTAAGAAGGTCTTCAGAAGCTGTATGTAATGGTAGAAATCAAGGCTTTATCCTTTCTTATCAATAGTAATTGTATTGACAGAATTTAATAAGACTATTTTTTTTTTTTTACATTCCCTATTGCTATGATATGTAAGAATGTATGCTAAAAGTAGAATTACTTTTCAGTTTCACATGACCTCATGTCTAGTGCAAGAGCCTGGAACAGTTTCTCTCTAACATAAGGTTAGAATATACAGACCAGCTGTGTTGCAGGAAGGGGCGATCTCGATTTAAGAACTGGGAAAAGTGAACAAAACACCTGGTTT